TATTTAAATAATGTATTTTGTAACATAACTGTATTTTTAATATTACAGATGTAGGTGTATTTTTTTGTTCTGTCTTTTTTGTATAATTGGTTGATCATACACCTGATTATAATCCTACAAAATCCCGGACTTTGTGTAGGTGTACCTATGAGAATTGATGCTGGTTTGAAGGCAAAAGGTAGTAACACTAAATATTGATTTGATTTAGATTTTTCTTTTGTTTGCTCACTTTGCATTGTGAAAATTGACAAAAATAAACTATCATTATTTATATGTCTGAAAGCATTCTTTGTTTACAGCATTTTTTCACACCTGCCTATAACTTTTGCACAGTACTGTATACTTACAGGTAAGAATTTGTATACTTAGTACAGAAAGGGGAGCTTCCCTGGCTGAGCATAGATTGGCACTGTGCCTTGTCATTTGAGAGATTTGTACTGCAATCAAAATGTTTCATAATTCCAAATGTATAGCTAAATAGGAAATTTTCACAAGAAACACTTGAAGGAGGAAAGTTAACTCTTTTGTTTTATTTTCTAGATGTTTTGTTATGCCTTGCACGCTATAGTCAGGGATGTGATGGACCATTGTGCCGCCCAGAAATCTTGTTGCCAGAGAACACCTCAACTTTTCTGGAGCTCAAAAGTTCACGCCATCCATGCATTACAAAAACATTCTTTGGAGATGATTTCATCCCTAACGATATTGTGATAGGCTTAGAAGATGAAAAAACAAAAAGCAGAGCTACTTGTGTCCTTGTGACTGGTCCAAACATGGGAGGAAAATCTACGCTCATGAGACAGGTGATTAAAGGCAGAGTCACCTTATAGTCTGGCTTTAACACCCTTTATTTTTTTAATCTTATATGTATTTGCAGTGACTTTATAGTTCTTTGTGGTATTTCCAATATTAGTTTGCTCAGTTGCTAATATAATTTGTGCAAACAGAATTGTGTTGAAGATAAGTTGGAACCAAATAGTCTCCCCCCACCCCCAACATCTTTTTATGTAAGTATTAGTTACATGCTATCGTACAACGATATTTCAAATGAAAACTACTGCTCCAAAATAGGACACTTTTCAAAAGAGGACTGGACTCAGTGTTAGTCACATTTTTTTACTGGTCCAGATTCTGGTACTGGAGTAACGAATTTTGCTTCATTGAATTTAATTTGCTTAACTTTTCAAGGAAATCCCTGAATTTATATAAACTGCTTCCTGATTGTTCAGATGAGACTGTGCCAGACATAGGAAAGAAACACACCATTGAACATGCCTTGCATATGTTCCATTTTCTTTTGAAAGATGCCTAAACAATAAAATGAAATTGCTAGAATGTTGATAATATCTCCTTTTGGAGCATGTGGGATAAATTGTAAATAGCCTTGTGAGATCCCAAGTATGCTCTATACATGTTATGAACAGTTCTGTATTAAATGACTACATCCAAACCTTGATTAGATAATTGGGACTGGGAACTCAATTGCTAAACAACACACTCATAAAACATGACAGAACGTAAGCATGCCAGCTTACAATGACAATTCTGACTGTCCTGGTTGCTGTCTTTAGGCAAATTCCATGCAGTTGCAGTGTCCTGCGGTCATATTGCCATTTGCAACCCCCATCAGCTTCCTGATTGACTTGGCTTATGGGAAGCCAACAGAAAAGATTACAGGGCAATTGTGATCATGGGATGCTATGACTGTTGTAATTTTAAGTCAGTTGCCAAGCTACAGGTACAAGGATGTAAAAAACCCTTGTTCAGCACTGTTGTAACTTCAAATGGTTGCTGAAGGGGTGGTCATTAAATGAGGACTACCTTTAGTTTCACATGCCCTTTTTAAAGCTATCTACTAAAGATTTTCAAAATGTCTTCTATTTTTAAATCTCACCAGTGGGTGTTAGAATTTGACTTCATAGAGTGACTAAAATAAATAGAATAATTTAGTATTAAATTTGAACATTGGGGAAAAAAGTGTCCCATTGCCATCAGTTATTAGGGCTGATGTAGTTAAGGCCCTTAGTGTAATTAGTCCTCAATTTACGACCGTAATAGAGCCTGGCATTTCCATCATAGGTCATGATGGTTGTAAGTCAAGGCACCTATGTGATCTGAAGAAGCTTCTTGGGAGAGAAGTGAACCACCTCAAAAAAAAAAAAAACCCTCCAGAAAGTTCAGTTGTCCTTGGGGGGGGGGG